GAGTCCCACCATGGAGGGGAGGGAAGCTTCCTCATGGCAGAGTTCTTTAAAGGAATCGCGCTACTTGCTGCATTATGAATCGCCTCAATGAGTTTATTATATTGTGCCAAAAAGTTGTCATTGTTGACTGGCTCGAGAGATCTGATCTCACTATCGAGTAGGGAAGAGTAAGTATTCCAGTCTGCTTTATTGGTACGGTATTTTAAAAGGGGAGAGCATTCCTTAGGGTGAATTGGTGAGGTATGAAGAGTTGTGAGAATTGAAAAGTGGTCACTACCATATGTGTTTGGGAGAACCTTCCAAGAGGCTAAAGGGGCCAATGATGAGGAAGCAAGGGATAAATCAACTGCACTAGGGTTCTGGTCAGGAGCGACTCTGCGCGTGGGTGAACCATCATTTAGAACGCAGACATTCAGGTCATCAAATGCCTCTATTAGATAGGTAGATAGAGGGTCACAAGAGGAGGATCCCCATAATTCATGTTTGCAGTTAAAGTCTCCCAGGATAACAAGGGGTCCAGGAATGCGAGAGGGTAAGCTGTTCAGCTCTACAAGCAGTTCCAAATTAGGGTGAGGTATATAAATTGAAATTATTGACATACTAAGGGCTCTGGCTGCAACAATGTGGAGGTTAGTACTGTGAGTGGGAATATCAATTTGGGAAAATGTTACAGAATTTTTAATAAGTAAGGCGCAACCAGCCCGACCATCGTCCCTGTCATCCCGGAGGCACGCAAATCCCGAGATAGAAAACCTTCTATCTGGTCTGAGCCATGTCTCAGAGAGGGCAAGGGCAACCGGAGTGAACTTGTTGATAAGGTATATAAGTTCCTGTTTTTTATTCCTGATGCTTCTACCATTCCACTGTAGGAGAACTGGATCCATTGTTTTTGTTTTGGAGCATGACAATAAGTTGGTGTAGCAGGGTCAGAACGTATGGGGGGATGATATCCGAGAATTTTTCCAAAATATTGATCAAGGCTGAAGTCAAAAGTTCTGCGAGGTTATCATTCGGGGTTGGTGAGGGAGGCTCTCTTGGAGCTTGTAATGCGCTGCCATTTGGCAGGGAATATGCCGGTGTTTTTATTAAGTTTTCGTGGGCTTCTACATCATAACCAGGACCTGATGGAGCCCTAGTACGCTGATTTAGGGTGACAGTTTTGATATAAGACCTTTTAGGGGTCATTGGTGAGCAATGTGGAGCATCAGTAGTGGACGAGTTAAACTGAGAAGGTGTGGGGAGAGTTGACTTAACGGAGTCTGAAAACAGCATGCGAGCGGGTCGGAAGCGTTTAGAGGCCTCAGAGTAAGAGATGTTTTCCTCAGACATGACAATTTTTATTGATTTCTGTCTTGAGTGCTCTGAGCATTTTGGGTCTGTAGCCTTATGCCTACCGAGACATAAAAAGCATGAGGCATCAATGTCTGGGACTACGCAGGAATCACCTAAATGATTTTGGGCACATTTGAAGCACCTGGGTTTTGATCGACAGGCTTTACTTACATGGCCAAAGCGGTAACAGTTGCGGCATTGTATTGTTGGGAGTTGGTATGTTTCAACAGGGAGTGCCATATTAAAACAGTATACCTTTTCAGGTAAGACTTGACCAGTGAAAGTCAGGACTACTGTGGATGATGGGACCCATTGACTCTGGCTGTCTATAAAAAGTTTTCTTGAGAGGTGCCTCGCTTTAATAACCGGGCCACAATTACTGGGTGTTTTTAAAGACAAAACCAGCTCTTCCATAGACCATTCTTTAGGGACATGTCTGATAATACCCATACGGGATACTTGATATCTAGGGATATTAGCAGATAACTTATTATTTGCTAAGATATTGTTGTCTAGGAAAGAGTTGGCTTCATCTGCATTTTTAAATTCGACAGAGATTTTGTTCCGTCCAACGGACTTGATACCGCCTTGAACTATACCCGGGACACGGTTTTTATGTAGTATTTGTGCAAGTTTCAATGCGCTCAAAGTACTACCTTGGACGCTTAACTCCTCATTTTTGGAAATCTGGACTGAAAATGGCGCCTTGTCCACGTTGGAGAATTTCAATTTATTGTTGTTGTCATATTCCGGCAAGACGAACATGGTTTGAGATGATTCAGAAGGAGACGTAAGTTTTTTCGGTTTTATAATGTCATCATCCAATGTAGAAGGTATTTTCTGAGCAGACTTTGTTAATTGAGTTTGTGAAAATACAGGTAAGGACGCCATCATGGCGTCGTCTTGGAGGTCGGCCCCCCTGTCCGGAGGGTCGTCCTCGCCTACATCCATCGAGAATTAATATTAAGAGACTTACCAAATCGCTGATTAAGTTAACCACAACCAACACAAAAGGGACAACACAATTTAGAATCTCAAAACACAAATTGAACGTTTAAAACGAGGCCAAATTCAGAACACGTGCGTTAACCAACACACCGACGAGCAGAATCCCGATAATGTTATCAATATCAACAACAATTCGATGACAAGCATGACAGTGACAGTTATAATTTTTTGCGTTAGAATTGTCGCCATACCCTTTTTGTATTGTGGAGATTATTTATTATGGTTTCAGTATAATATTGAAAAATATTGTTTCCCGATATTTTTGATAGATAATTAAATACAGTTTAAGCGTAAAGCGATGCAAAAAATACGAACAACATATTTAAAGTTGATTTCATCACTAAAATCAGTTAAAATAAATGGCTCAAAAGCCATGATGCCAAGCCACAATAAAAATATTCAATTGTGTTTCCCTTTTTTAACGTTTTTAATTCCTGACTTAGACAACCCTCCTGAATTGTTTAATAAATCTTTTGAGATTATTTTATTAACATTTCTGATAATGACATCTATAGACGCTAAAGATTTACTTCAACAAATATTTCGCCATTGTCCTTTAAAACCTTCGTGTTTGACGACCGAAATTTATCCGAAATTTGACGACCTCCGTGGCCGAGTGGTTTGTACGCCGGGTTTCATGGTGACGCCGACTCGAGAGGTCCCGGGTTCGAATCCCGGTGAGAGCAGATGTTTGTGTGATGAATACGAGCAACATTCCAGTCATGGAGGTTTAATATGTATTTCTATATAAATATACTTATATATGTACTGTATATGTATTCTATCCGTTACCCTAGTATCCCATAACACAAGCCTTACAGTGCTTACTTTGGGGCTAGGCTAATTGGTGTGAGTGTAAAAAAAACCGTGTTTATACAAATACTGCTTGGGAACTGAAAATTCAGGCTTCTACTTTTATCCACAAAAAAGTTATAGGGGATCGAAAATAGCTTAAACTGTTTCGAGAAAAGGATAGAAGGAGGAGGAAGGAAGAAGGAGGAGGAAGGAAGAAGGAGGAGGAAGGAGTGCTTGATTTGACGGGGCCATATTACTTGGAAACACTGAAGTCTACTACTGTTCGTTTTCAGAGATATTTTATTCTACGGACAATAAATTATGGAATGAGCTTCCCTCCAAAATGTTCCCCAGCATTATAAAATGTTCCACTTCAAGAGAGGTTGAAACAGTTCGAAAACGAAAGGCAGCGGTATGGCTGTATCACTGGCAATAATGGTGATCACTTAACATCAGGCCCGTGCGCTCGTCTTCCTTCGATGGCAATAAAAAAAAAGTATAAAATTTTATTTCACGTCTGTTCCTAAAGAAAAATGATCTGTTTTACAAAAGTATATGAACAATATATCTACAGAAAAATTGTTTGGGAATGTCCATGTCCTAAAGGACATGTCCCAAACAAAAGACGGTAAGTATCAACCAATTAATAGTCGACTTCCGTCTTTTATTAATTGGTTGATACTACTATAATTTCCTGGATAGGAATCCAAGTTTGCCACTTATCTGTGGGATGAATATAAATGTCTGTTAAAAAATCATTACAGTCACTTAGTTATTTAGATTTCTCAGGAACCATATCCTTAATGAACTTAACTATTTAATTAGTTTCCAAAGAAATTTAGCTTCGCTTGGTTGCTAACTAAATAATTTCTGTGAGTTTCCGGGAAACCTGAAATATAACTTCCTAATTTACTATAGACATGTCTACTAATGTTTCGTAATGAAATCAATCTCGAGTTGTAACCACCAGTGAATTTTTGGCTGTATGAATTTATTTAAGGTTAGAATATAAATAAGGTAAGTATTAATGTGAGTTTACTGAATATTGACAGCATAAACTTATGAGCCCCTCACTTGATAATCAAGTAATCACAATATCTAAGGACACCTGTAAAGCCAGTGGCCTAACAAATGTTAAGAATGTTGAACTTATGTTTATCGCTTCCTAATTCAGGCTGCCTACGTCTTCAAAGTTTTACCTTTATGTTCGAAGTTTTATCTAAAGATGTAGACTACCATCCGCCTTTTCTCAAAGTTCTATAAAGAGATAGATAAAACCCAAAGTTTCTCCTCTATACCGAAATTTAAGAAAGTCTCGGTCGCGGTTTCAATACGTAACAGAGATGCTTACGTTACTGCTGTTTATAGGATTAATATTTTATGGATCCTTATCGACGAATGACGAAATCCCTTCTAAAAGATTTCAACCCTTAGCCGAGACAAGATTGAAAATCTTTCAACCCTTAGCCGAAACAAGATTGAAAATCTTACTCTAATAACAGTACAAGTGCAACAGAGAAGATTAACAGATATCATGTAACATACATGATATCTGTTCAACTATTCATCTTCTGGTGTGCTTCAGTATCTCCTTTATCATCATCAAATTTCGTTCTGTAAAATTTCGTTATAGATGGTATAGATAGAAATGATCCACTACGAAAACCTAGTGTAGATTGGTGTGAGTGAATGTGTGCTGATGCAACTGGAACTAACGACTTGACCAGCTTTCTAAAGTACGGATAAGTTCGAGATCATAAAATTCTAATCACCCATTCTATAACAGGTTAAATTTGCTAAGCTTCCCCGATCACAGACTGCGCTATGTGGCTCCAAAAAAGTACTTAATATTTGATGGCTTACAGCGGTTGAATGGCGAGAAAGGATCTTGCGGCACGGTCGCAGCTTGGGAGGGCAGCGGCGTTAGATGCCGCAAGGTGGATCTGACCTCCCCTACATCTCCCGCCGCCGCCACCCCGGCGGTACATCCTGCCCCTTCAGCGCCACACAGCGTGCCTCACCTAGTCGGCGTAGAACGGCGTCAGAGCATATTACAGGTCTTTAATCCTTTTTTCTTCAATATTTATCTACCCATTGCTAGGTATAGGTCTCTTCAATGCTTATCCAATTTGCTTGGTGTTGTTTCATCCTGATCCAGTTCCTTCCTGCTACGCTGACGATGTCATCGGACCATCTGGCGAACGCAATATATGTCATTAGCTACAGCCTACGCACGATCGCAACTTAAGAGAGGACATGACTAACATCAAGTCAGATGTCCCACCGAGGAACCTCGCTACTTTAACGCCTCATAGCGTAACTCACCTAGCCAGCGTGAAGCACCGCCAGAGCATATTACAGGTTTCCAGCTACAGCCTATCAGTGCTTTAAGATGTAGTTAAATGGACTTGACGCGTCTCCCCTTGGTGTTGTACCCCGTCAATTCAGTATCACACAGCATACCCCACCTAGACTGCATGCAGCGGCGTCAGAGCATACTATAGATCATCATATCAAATATTATAGTTCTTAGCTGCAGCCTAGCATGCAACGTCGCAGTGTTGGAGGGAGTGATGGCAGATGCCGTAAGATGGTCAATGATAGAATATTAGATTTTTCTTAAATGGTTATCACCTTGTTTGGGTAAAAATGGAGCATGCATATTGCCTGCCTGATATTTATATTATTATTTACCATAACCAATAGACGATTACGACAACAGAATATCACCCGCTAGTAGTTTATTTGCCCTACCCCGTGGAATAATTGAAAGAATAGAATTTTATTTAAATAAAGCCCCTACAAAAAGTAGTGTTATTTATGAGAGCTTCTGTATGGTGAAGAATCCAGACCCGAATCATGAAGTAGAGGTTACTATCCCGGAGGTAATAAAGCGGAAAATCTGCAAGTATTTAGTCCTTATCTACCCTAAAGACACACAAATTGAAGTACTCCAGTATTGTCAACTGAATAAAAACCAATGTAATTCCTCGATGAATTTTTTTTTTTTAATGTTAAAAGGGTGGCAAACAAGCATATAGCTTTCCTGATGGTAAGCGGCACCATAGTCTATAGACGCTGCCGATATCAAAAATTTTACTTAATCCGTGACCCAATCCCCTACCCCGTGGAGCCCTGGAACCTTACTCACCAACAGAATCACAACACCAGCAGAGGGCTGTGTTATTTTACTATGGTCTTCTGTAGGAGGTTACTTCTCCAGATGGGTGCTCCAATTCAAGCGGTAAATCCGCTACACACCTACCTCTCTTACATCTATTTAGTCCCCAATCTACCCAAAACACAAAATGGAAATACTTCAATATGGTCAACTGAAAAAAAACACATCAAGTCCTGATTGAAGTTTGAGTAAGATTCCAATTTCAACAGCACCATTAACTTTTCAGGTAGCTTGGCTAGACGCCGACACCGGTCAAGAACGCGTGCTATGGAGAGAGATAGATAAACTATCTCGCGTCGTGTTCCCAGCGTTGTTTCTTCTATTCGTCACCATGTACTGGCCCGTACTTCTCCTCAAGACGAAAACCTCTTCATAACGCTTAATCGACCACGCATTATTGCCATCCCGTCGCTATTGAAATAAATTAGACCCGCGACGCTTCGACAAACGTTTTCCAGGGCGATATCGGATTACCTGTTCGATTATAGAGTACTGACTGAGTCTACACATATAGTCCGGAATGTAATCTGAAAGAAAATTTTTAGTGTATCCGGGCGGCTTGCGGAAGCGGTACGGGTTCGAATCCCGTCTGATGCCTGAATTGCATAGATTTTCTACTAGTAAGGTTTTTCTTACGATTAAAAATCTAGCATTTAATATACCAAATATGTAAAATGAAACTCAAAAAATATATTGCAATTGAAGTTCATTTGCAACCAACAATAATTAGCGCCAACGTAAATTGAGTCTGGATTACCGCGAGTCTACTGTATTCTAAAATAATGGAAAAATGTTGGTGGTTTTGTAGAATTACCTATAAATTTAAAGTGCTTTACAATCGTGTTGTTTATTGTAAAATCTTTATCAAGCGTTAATTTAGTTATGAGATTTATTAAGTTATTAGTAATTTATTTTTTGTAAAAAATATGAAATAGGTATAACGATCTGAGCTTAAGATTGCATGACAATTAAAGTATGACCATCATGGGCCGATTCTGGCATTATCTTCTAAACCTAAAATTAAAATTGATAACTGTGCCATCCTTGTCATAATGTAAACAAAATGAAGAAGAGAGACTGTTTTCAAATTAAACTGAAACCTTATTACCACAAAAAAGTTAAGCATGCGTTCAACATGAGTTCAAGAAACAGTGTCATACAATGCCTAAATAAGGTTTAAACAGTATTGCCGATTCTGGCATGATTCTTTAAATCTAAACTTAAATTTGACAGCAGTGTTTCCTTATCACGCTTTATACAGAATAAAAAGGAGCAAGGATAGACTGAAGTTAAATTTAGTTTGAGGTTAAAGAATCATGCTAGAATCGAGACCAGTATCTAACTTTTTTGTAGTAAGATCGTTAGTTTTGAAAATGATACCAGAACCAGGCACCATATAATATACTCTTAAAACTAAGTAAATACATATTTGTATTCTTAAATTTGCCATATTGTAATTATTAGTGACTGAATTTGAAGTTTGTTTTTCTTTTGTTCATCTGTACACTTGGAGCTCTACTCTCTTACTCCGAAACGAAATTTTGGTAACGAACGAATTTTAAACGAAATTATGCCAATGACTCTACTCAATTTCATTTTTTGCACACGCACATCATGTTCGGAATCACAGACAATTTTCGTGAACGTATGGAATGAGTCATGTTTGTGAGTTCTTTTATCTCCACTTTTTAGATTACCTGTTTTACTTGGAAACAATATTACTTTACTACAAAATTTTCGATGACATAAAAAGAACTTTCTTTGACAGTGATTGCCGACTAATTTGTAGAGTTGATGCACTTCAATTGTATGGCAACCTAAATTTGTCGTTTAATACTTTGAAGTATTGGAAATATAATAATTAATTAAAATTTGGTGTATTTGTTAATTTAACATGCTAAAAAATGTTCCTCACGCTAAGCAGCCTTGATTAAAAAACTCTATCAGTCAATTTAAGCTTAATTTTAACAAAAGTCCCAAAACGAAAATGAAAAGGTAACAATTTTCATTTCGTCAATTTGAGGTTAAAGTTTCGAACAATTATATGTCAAATTCAACTTTTCGTTTGAAAGTTTTGTGAATTAGAGTAGGCTTGGAGAATTTAATTGTCAAACTATTTTCGGACGAACGATTTTTCGAAATGAAAAGGAAATAGAGTAGGAAACGTGCGAAACGATCGAAATTTAGTTTTTCGTTGAAATAGAGTAGGCCTCCTGTACTGGAAAAAGTATTTTAAAGTACGAACCTTGTTACAAATGATTCATTAAATTTTCTTAGCTAAAAATTGCATCATCGTTAAGCTTTACAATGAGTCACTATTTAAGCGATGATAGAATTGTAACCGATAAATCGGAATAGTTAGAACATACGGAATTTAATGCACCAAATATAAGTACTAGAGATAATATAAAACGTGTCTGCAAAGTGGAAATAATTTTATATTATAACCATTGTATGGTGCTGTTGTAGAGAATTAGTGTTAACCCGGGTCCATGCGATATTGCACTGCACGTATAAAAAGCTATAAAATAACGAATTTAAATGCACAAGACGTGTCATATTTATTAAAAAACGGTACGGTGCAGTACCATGTGAACAGGAAGTCATAGTAAAACACGTATATACAGCATGTTTCAGGTCATTGTGTTCATACTATCGAAGAATAGGTAACAATTTTCAATATTATTTAAACGTGCATTAATAAATAAAAATATGGACATTCATGTTTTCATATTTATGCCATTAATATCATAAGCGACATCCATATTTTATGGTAGAACCATACTATATTGATGAGACACGTTTTAGGCATTAAAGAAAACTGAAACATCCTGTATTTATATAAGTTAAGTGAGGGTGTTTTCACATGCGTCATCGTCTCATTCGTTTCAGCTTTAAGCATTGTGATAATGATAGGTTATGGAATTAAAAAAAAGAGTTATTGTTAAGATTATGCCGATAAATATGATTACTAAAGAGTTAGATTAATATTTAGCGAGTTTAAGTTATTAAGTTCCATGTAGATACAAAAATCGTCCAAGGAGCGAGTAAAAAGGTCCTCAGTGTGAGATGTAGGAAATATAGTAGTTACATAAATCTATTCTGCAAATGAAATTGATCAAAAGTTTGTGTTTGTTGTACACAGTGCTGGAATAATGGACAATTTCGAGTCACTCAACCATATTAGTCCTGACTAAATTAAAATAAAAAATAGTGTGCACGGTCCACACATCTGAAGTGAAACTTCTTTTCACTTAATAACCTAATATTAGGCGGCGCTCGTAGCGTTTCAGCCTTCGCCGAGTTACCCTCCAACTTTCATGCTCGTCGGAAAGAGCTGCAAATTCATCCACACACACACACACACACACACACATATATATATATATATATATATATATATATATACATATACATATGTGACGCTCGTGTAGCATTTCTCTTTTAATCTTTTCCAAAGGATTTTTCCATTTATACCCCGTTGGAAAAGAAGTGTCACTTTAATAATCGTATACAATATTTTAAATACGTACATATTAATTACTCCATCCAACAAAAGCTTTTGAAAATAAACAAAAAAAAGATTTGAAACGAAATAAATATTCAAAACTATTAAAAATTGGAACCGTCCCTTTGAACTCATATTATTTTGGTCGTTACCACATTTTATTTTATTTTATTTATCACAAGGAAATCACGCACACATTTTTATGTATGTACGTACTTTAAGATAACTTTAAAATGATGACCTCTTTAATACTTTATTTTGATAGCGTTACTTATTCATATCATTATTTCAATGACAAAATTTAATTGTTGATTAGTATGCTTGAATCATGTCGGAGAAAGTTGTTCAGTACAAAATATAATTTTTCCAAAGTATTTTGTCTTTTTTTCATTACGTTCTCATTATTCTGGACGAAAAGCTTACATGATATTGGTCTTTGATGTTATGAAATTAAAAAAACAGCTCTTTTGTGATTAGCACACTAGCTTTTATTTTAGTTTTAATACAACGTGCAGACATACAATTAATGGAGTAGAACGAAAGTGAAAAAAAAAAACTTATACCAACATTAACATATTCCTTCTTTGCATTGCAGCCAACTTAAATATTATGGATAAACATTGCCATTTTAATAACACCCCTTCTGAATGTTTATGCATTTTAAACAAATTTATCTTAAATCTAACATATGACTATAATTATTATTAACTATGATTTATAAACATTAGCAGTTAAACATCTCTACCTTTTAGCTTACAATTTGACATTGCATTGTGTTAAAAAACTTAATTAATAAGTCCTTACTTAATGACTTTGTTAGCATGTCTGCCAATTGTTCACAGGTACTTATGTACTGAATATCAATTTTATTTAGATTTTTAATTAAATCTTTAATGAAGTGATATCTGATATCAACATATTTAAGACGTTTGACTGAGTCTGTACATGCATTCAAAATAGCTGACTGATTGTTACAATACAACTTAATTGGGCTATCATTTTGAACATCCAAGTCATGTAGCAAATTAATAAGCCAGCACGCTTCAATTGCTGCCATACTCATAGAAACATATTTAGCTTCAGTGGAAGATAAGCTTACAGAAGATTGCTTCTTTGAAAACCACATAATCAAACAGTTTGCGAAAGTGAACAAATAGCCAGATGAGGACTTTCTGTCCCCCTGATCACCTCCCCAATCTGCATCACAGTAGCCTTGCAATGCACTATCATTACACTTATAAACTATTTTATAATCTAAGGTATGCTTCACATAGCGCAATACTCTCTTAAGTGCACTAAGTAATGCACTATTGGCACATTTCTGATATCTACTTAGCAAAGAAACTGCAAAACACAGGTCAGGCCTAGTACCTGAGACAGCATACATAAGACAGCCAATAATTTGCCTACAGATTCCTTCAATATCTTTATCACACTTAGTATTTATATCAAATAGTTTAGTATTAAAGTTCATATGCAAGGGTGTCAACATAGGTTTGCAATTTTCTATATTAAATCTTTTTAATATATTTTCTAAGTAATTTCTTTGTGATAATGTAGTTACACCATTTTTTAAGTTTTGTTTCACATTTATTCCTAAAAAATCTGAAATTAAACCTAAATCTTTCATTTTAAATTCTTTGTTTAATATTGTTTTTAGGTTAGTGACCTTATTTTCATTAGTTCCAAAAATTAGCAAGTCATCGACATAAATTAACACAAATCTTTTATCTTTACCACTATACTTTTTATACAAGCATGGATCACGTTTAGAACTTATAAAGCCTTCTTGTGTTAATAGCGAATTAACTTTAATATTCCAGGATTTAGGCGAACTTTTCAACCCATACAATGACTTATTTAATTTTACAATATTATTATCTCCTGAGTAAGCCCCTTCTGGTAAACTTACTTATACATTTTCTTTAATCTCACCATATAGAAAAGCCCCTGTGACATCCATTTGGTATATAGGTAAGTTATATTTCGTTGCAATTATTACAAATAACCTAAAAGTTGTTAGCTTAGCAACTGGGGCATAAATGTTACTTAAGTTGATTATATCTTGTTGTTCGAACCCCCTAGCAACAAGCCTAGCCTTATACTCTTTGACATTATTTACATTTTTTATCTTAAAAACCCATTTGCTACTTATTGGCTATGTACTTACAGGTAATTCACAAACTTCCTATCTGTTATTGTCACTCAGTGTCTTAAGTTCCCTATCGATAGCTGCTCTCCACTTACTGGCATCGCTCCGGCTCATGGCATCACCATATGTGATGGGATCACACACACTTTGGTCCAGGTGCACCCTATTACACTTGTAAAACACTGTTTGTTTACGTTCACGCTGACACCTTTCCCTTTTAATGGGTGAGTCAATCTCTTCCAATAGGTTTTCTTCTTCACTGCATGGCAAGTATTCACTGTCATATTCCGAGTTATCTTCTAGGATGAGCCAATCTTTTCCAATAGGTTTTCTTCTTCACTGCATGGCAAGTATTCACTGTCATATTCCAAGTTATCTTCTAGGATGCTACTTATTTGGGTTGCCTCTATCTCGTTGTGGTCGGAGGTTGTTGTTATCTCATCAATATCTGTATTGGAACTATTCTCTTGCACTGTCTCCTCTTCAAGGTTTAGGGACACTACATTTTGCTCTTCACCTTCCTTCACTTGATGTTTTTCCTTCTCTTCTTGCTTTACGAATACAATGTCCCTTTTTGTTTCCACCTCATTTTTCTCAGGATAGTAAATACGGTAACCTTTCACATCCTCTTCATATCCGACCATCAATCCCTTTTCTCTTTTTGGATCTCACTTCAGTCTCTTTTCCTTTGGAATGTGTACATATACTTCTGTACCAAAGGTTTTTAATTCATGAATATTGTATGTTTTCCCAGTCCATACCTCAAATGGAGATCGCCCATCCTCAAGGCTCTTACCAGTCCTGTTCAACACGAACACTGCTGTATTTATGGCTTCGGCCCATAATTTCTTTGGTAAATTTCTCTCATGTATCATTGTCCTGGCCGCTTCCACCAATGTTCTATTTTCTCTCTCAGCCTTTCCGTTCTATTCTGGGGTGTATGGTACTGTGATTTGGTGTGTTATTCCACGACTTGTAAACATTTCCTTCACATACCTGTTCACAAACTCCAGGCCGTTATCACTTCTGAATGTCTTCACCTTGTTTCCAGTGTTATTCTCAGCCTTATTTATAAAATCCTCAATTATATACTTGATCTTATCTTTTGTTTTCACAAAGTACACACTTCTGAAGTTTGAATAGTCATCTTTCAGCACAACAAAGTACCTTGACCCACCAACTGACGGTTCCTCCATTGGACCGCAGGTATCAGCAAGAATTAATTCACATGTTCTGGTACTCTTGTGTTCGCTTCTATTAAATTGCAATCTGTGTATTATCCCAACCAAGCAACTCTCACACGCCGGGTTGGATGTTTGTTTAACCTCAATGTTGTTTTTCCGCAAGATATCTTTTACGTAGAAGAAGTTTTGATGCGCCAATCTTCTGTGCCACTCGTTTAGGTCGTTCGACGCTAATTTTGCAGTATTCGCAATTTCAAAATTATTATTATAGCGTAAATCCAAATAAAACGCATTTCCAATTATTTTCGGAACCGCACAAATTTTGTTCGACTTCAAAAATTTGCATGAGCTGTCATCTGTCACCATGATATAACCTTTGTCTGTGGCGCGATTTACCGAAAACAAGTTCGTTTTTAGTTCAGGGATATAGCGTAATGGCACCAGTGGTCAGCCTCATAACGACTTTTTGAAGTTTGGAAAGCTGGCATTTTTACAGGATTGGTCGGATAATGAAACGTAGTGCATGATTGGATTAATTGTTTATTATAGTTTTAGAACAACATATGTTAAAAACAATCTTTCTCTTTATAAAATATATATTTAAATTCAAACAAAAAACAGTGGTCAGCCTCTAAAATCCAATAATCAGCCTCGATGAACCCAGTATTCAGCCCTTATTAATAAGCATGAGATCAAAATGAGCATTATTTATATCAAAATCAACGATATTATTAAGTTCTCTCTTATTATTTATAGCTAAAATATCAAAACAAAAAAAAATCTCACCTGCCCGTAATATTATTGTGACCAAACAGTCATAGTACTTATTTGTGTTCTTATTTTTTGGAACTTCATCATAAAAACATCAGTAGACCAGACCATTTATGGTCTATTTATATAAAGTATGTATGCATTTTTGTATATTATGTCAATATTCCTCTCAGGTTTAATACACATAACATGAAAGAGATATAGGTCACTAGTAAATCTACTAATAGTACCTACTTTGTAAAAACTATTCTTACAATCAAATAATTTCAGTCCTAATCTTCCTATTTTTATATATCTCAACTCTCTTATATATCAACAAACATATATATCTCATACTCATATTTATCTAATCACCCGAACTGCTACGTTATGGCTTCCATGGTGGAAGAGAGTTTCTCTGGGAGATATGTTTATCTTGGCGGAATTTTGGGCTGAAAATATACACAATTATTTATCAAATTTTTATTTTCATAGGTACCTTCTCAATTAGTGAAATACAAACTACTTTAATACATTTTATAACTATTTCAGGTAAAACTAAAATGTAGTCTACCGACGTTCTTAAAAATACTACCTAAATGGGTATAATCGAAGACACTGTTAACTGTACATTTACAAAAGAACATAAACCTTGTCGCAACGTACTAAAGTCTATGGGTGGTTAACAGTATCTTCGTTTGCTAGATCGGGGTTGAATACTGGATTTTAAAAATAATTCAAGAATCCAGTGATCAGCCCCGGGGGGCCGGCCATTGGATATTTTATAAAAAAGTAGTACCCAATGGTCAGCCCCCACAATATTTACGTAAATCAGCGATATTTTTATTCAAATTTAATATAATTCAATACATGAAGTAACAAATAAAGCCAAATTGCATAAAAGACTATCACATTTCATAATTAAACATGTGTTTTCTTACCTTTAAAGAGAACACCACGCGAAGTAAAAAATATATCGGACATGACAATACTGCGCTTTTCAACCGCCGTCACCTGTATGAACGAGTATATTTCTCCCCCCTGATCCCCTGCCGCATCTATCGTGTGACATATTAACCAATGAGGAATCAAAGTTTCTATTAAAGTACACGTTCTTCGTTTATTCTAATTGTAGCGATATTTATGACTAATAAACGACGCAAAGGGCTGTCCACTGGTTCCTGGCTGACCACTGGTGCCTTTACCCTACAGCATTTTGTCTATGACTGTGTCAATCCATTCGTTTCCGTTTGATACTTGAACTGCCATCTGTCCGTAACCAAGCGCATTTATCACTGCTCCATTACCGATGATTACCGGTTTTGGCGAAGTATTTGAGAATGATGTAAACAATGCACGGTCCCGGCACATGTATTCACTAGCGCCAGAATCCACTAGCCACTTGGATTTTTGTAGTTGATGCGACAGGTTAGACATCACAAATGCGTTACTATTCGTTTATTTTCACTTGTTGACGTTCTTTGTTTTCTAAAACGGCACTGGGCTTTAAAATGTCCAAATTTCCCACAAAAGAAAAAAGTTATTATTCTTGCTCACGTTCCTTTCACTATTAGTTTTATTGTTACTTTTACTCTCGGTTTGATAATGTCCACTTTTACCAGATTTGAAACCTTTTGTTGATCCTTTATTTTTCACAAAAAATGCAGAAGCTTTTACTCGCTCTTCTTCAATCAGTAGTCTGGCCACTAAATTATCAAATGTTTGTTTGTCGTCAGATGCAGACTCCCAAGCCGAAACGAAATGTTTATATTCGTCTGGTAACGACATTAATACTTTCGTGATTACAATTTTTTCTGAAATTGCTTCACCCATCTATTTCAATTGGTTTTGTAGTTCTTGTATCTTAGATAAGAAAACGGACATGTCGATGCCTCTTTCGAACTTATATTGAAAAAATCTCTGCTGTATGATGTGCACACTAGTCTCAGTTTTCTGTTCATATACACTATGAAGTTTTCGCCACATCTCGGCAGAACTCGTACATGTAATAATATGCAGCATTGCCTCTTCCGACATTCGTGTTACCAGCAACGTTTGCGCTTTGGCATCTTTAGATTCCTAGGCATGTATCTCAGTGGCCACTTCGGGCTTCACCTGTCTTCCCTCCACAATGTTTAACCACCCAAGGCCCCTCAATTGTACTGTTGTTTGGAATTTCCAGATATTCCAATTTCCGGCCCCTTCTAACTTGATCATATTACCGTTGTTGTTATTTCCCTCCATTTTGACCCTGTCCTCCCAACTAAGAACAAGTACTTCTCGACGATGTTCCGCAGTACCCGAGCCTGAGCACCACGCCGCAAACTGTAGTGAGCTAACCTCACTTTTTCCTTCTCGCCGATTTTGCTGCTGCCGTAACTAGCGTCAACTTACATCAAGCTGTTATGGGACTGGGCCTATAACCTGATGTTATGAAATTAAAAAAAACAGCACTTTTGTGATTAGCACACTAGCTTTTATTTTAGTTTTAATACAACGTGCAGACATACAATTAATGGAGTAGAACGGTAGTGAAAAAAAAAAACTTATGCCAACATTGACATATTCCTTCTTTGCATTGCAGCCAACTTAAATATTATGGATAAATATTGCCATATTAATAACAGTCTTCTATTTCACAAACTTACGTCGAAAATATGACGATCGTGTTTTCTACGTCTGTTCGGCCCTTTTTTTTTACCTCTACACTGCTTAGTGCGGAGCCGCAGGGTCCCCGTTAGGGATTCTACCACGGCTCCACCCCCAGCAGCTTCCCGGCCTCGCCGGGGCTCCACGGCAGGGGTCTCCCGCGGTATTTCGGGAACCCCGTAGACGTGTGCACGTAGGCCCGTGCGTGGGGGCTGGATACGCGGCCTACTGCCCACCATACCGCCCCCCATCCGCTGCGGAAAGCTGTAGCCCCCCCCCCCCCTTTGCAGATAGAATCGCATGGGGAGGGCCGCCGTTCCTGGGAGGGAGGACCAGGAGGGGAAGCGTTCCCGTCCCTCTCCCCCCTCCCGGTCGCCCACGTCTCTCCGCATCTTCTCCTGGAAGAAGACGGGGGAAGCGCGGGCGACACCATCCGAGGGGTCCGAGCGGCCAAGGCTACTCGGACATCCCCCCCTCTGAGGGCACCCGTGCGGGTGCCGATGCCTCAGAGGTCATTCTTTCAAGGGCTTCCCCTTTGTTACAGGCGGGTCACATTTCCCCCTCCCCATAACGTGGTCAGCCGGTTTGCCACTCTCCGCGCACACGGCGCAGCGGGGCTGGGCAGCGCATCCCGCCGCCCTATGCCCCGCTTTCCCACACTTGAAGTAGAGTGTACTCCGGTCTTCGCCAGATGGGCACCTTGCGGCTACGTGCCCTTTTGCCATTCACCGGTAACAGTGTGTACGCCGGCTGAGGGCCTTCACCTGAGCCAGGCTCCAGCCCACCCTGATTTTTCCCCCTTCCACCACTTTTTTGGCGGCCCATGCAGGACACCTGAAAAGTGTGCCCCCCATTCCTACCGGTCCCGGGTACACTACCCCCGCCTCCCCTGGCCACCGCCTCCCTTATCTCACTCAGGGTGAGCGATTTGTCCAGCCCCGACAGTCGTAGGTCCTCAGTCTTCTCAGGCCTGAGAACCTCGGCGTACTCCTGTACCACCTCTCCCATACGCTTTGCCAGAGCGTCCGCCTTCACCCTACTGTCCGGGCCTGGGACCACCAGGAGCTTAGACCCCGTCTGGCTGGTTAAGAATTTTAATTATTAAAAATGTTAAAATATAATTGATAAAAGTAATTTCTGTGACTATAGTTTATGTATATATTTATACTCTGAACAGAGATATAGGGTTAATTACCGGCAGTCTTCTTCGTCTGTTGCGATCTCCGAATTGAAGTCTCATGTCGTCAGGCCCGGAAGCGGCGGCGTACTGCTTATTGAACTTTGATTCAGACCTAAAGCAATAGACAAAGAGTTGCTTTTAGATTGATAAACACTGTGAATATGTCTGATAATAACAGAGACATAGGTATAAACTTACGAACATTATTTCAGCGACTTTTATTCTCTTTGACATTTTATGAACAAGCAGAGAGACTTATTTGATCACTGTATGAACGTAATTGGTTCTGAATATTAAAGTAACCTCATTTATACTAAAATTTTCGTAATGTATGTACAGAAAAAATTGGGTGTGTGAAATTCACACATGTGTAAAAATTAAATCAGCACAAATGTGACAAACAATTCTATCAAATAACAAAAAATAAAGTTTAATTTATTTAAATTTGTTGCAAATAAAGGGTCTTCATATTACAAAGCAATATCCGCATAGCGGCAGCGGTCTGATATTATTACATACCTATCTATGTGGCATGATAGACTGGGATGACATAAAGAAAAATAGAATGTACTGGGTGCTAACTTCTGCATGCATATAGCAAAGTCTAACTTATCCCATTACTACAAAACGCGGCTAACCTATGTTGTCTCTGTTTTATTTTTAGCAAACAAATGACTGCATCAGTTTTAGTCCAGGCATAATTTTAGTCTGCGTTGTAGTTAGGCCGTATAGGTTTGGAAAGTATGAAAATAATAATATAAGAGTTACTTTTGCTGATAATTACTGTATATATATATGCACCTTTATACTTATAAATTACCGAATATTAGCGTTCCGTATCTCAACGGAAAAAACGAACCCTTATAGAATCACTTTGTTATCTGACAAAACACTTTGTCTCGGGAACGCGTAAAGGTATCGAGTTTAAAAAACTATATAATAGAAATACTTTGGTGTTCGTCTGTTTATCAAGATTCTTTATCTCAGGAACTTAGATCTACGATCTCGTGAAGCTGTGTAAAAACAAACTTCAAAGTAAACGTAGAAAGGTATTAATTTGCAACCATATACTCAAGTCTATGGCTCCATGAAGCTTTAAAAACTAGACAATAAGTTAATGTGAAACAAAAATAAACCGCTTATGTTGTGTTCCTACTAATTTGTACGGAACCCTCGATTGGCGAGTCCAACTTGTCCGATATTTATTAACTTTTAAAGTTTAACTGAAAAAATATCTTAAGTAAATATTTCTTGTTTATACATATGCTAGTTGTCTTAAGCACCAAACGCTGTTTTTAATAATTAAAATATAATATTTTGTATCGAACCTAGACTAACATCAAGGTTATAACCACTGAACCAACGACAAAATGCAAGTTTATCATTTGTCGTTCACAGAACTTTTCCACGTAGCGTAGATTTTTTAATAAACGTCTCGGGTTATCGCAACGAAAGCGCGACTAAGCATAATATGGTGTTGACAAAGCTCATTATTCACAGTACGCTATATAATCGCTGCGTTGTACGAATTGCTACGTTGTTTAGTGTGCTATACTGAGCGAATAAATCTCAACTATCAGTGTACATGATCCATTATATTTTAGTTATAGTTTAGTTTTTAAGTTTGTTAACTTAACATCAACGCGTACTAGTCCAGTCAATATAGACACTCCAGTTTGCATTAATTCCCAACAAGCTGGATTTTTGTGCAGGCCTTGAATACGTCATTACAAATGATATGTCAAAAGTCCCCATCGATCCCGCTTGTGCGTTGTTTTTTATTCGAGGTCAAAGGTCACAAATTTTCGTTTTTTGCGTATATCTCTGAAACAATGAGAGCGACCGAAAAATAGTTCAAACAAAGTTTGTCGATCGTAAAATTGTCTACAAAAAAGATCTCAACACTTTTCTTCTACTAAGCATCGCTTTCGAGATATCGTGACTTTAGACCGCAGAAAAGTCGTATTTTCGACTATATGCACACATTTCCGCACCACCTCTGAGGTAGTGTACACGGCGCTTCTTTTTTTACGAATAGGAATACTCAGTAGGAATACTCCACAATATATTTTAATCGAGAGAATGTTATGGGACACTATATATTTTATTATATACATATATACTACTTTATTGAAGATTTTTTTTTATTTGAATTTAACGAAAATTTTAACAGCAAGAAAATTACATCATCATTCATCATCAAATTCTTCATAGTCACTTGTTTCTTCCTCTTCACTGTCTTCTTCCTCTTCTTGCTCGATTTGTATAGACTGCTCCAAGAAGAGAGATATATCAGTTATATCCTCATCAATTTCGAAACGATTTTCATCTGTTGCATTTGATCCAATGTTGGTGCAAGATTGGCCTCGGCAATTGGTACATACCAATGAACAATACAATCCAACTTTTCTGCACCCGCAATTGTTTGTGCAGCCTTTTTTGCAATTACAAAAAATTGTATTGAGTAATTTTTCTGGAGCAGGTGGCAGTAAAGTCTGGATTGGGTCCAAACTATTATTCATCAATTTCCAGCCCCAATCTTCAGGATTTAGATCATTGCCTAGCCATACTTGCACTTGGTAGAACACACGAAACAAGTGTTGATAAGCAGAAGCAGATGTTGGAGGAAGACAAGATAACTGCACTCTCTTATTGTTTCTTGTATTTTTCACAAAACTCAAATATCTATACTTAATGAATTAGGGGCGAACGATGACTCACTTAAAATTTCTATATTTTTCACGTACTTGTGTGCATGGGGCTAATAAAACTATGTTCTAATATTTTTTATTCAAATGGTTAACCCGATGATGCATACTGGCCACGTATGAGTGCATATTCGTATTTTCTATGTTTAAAATAGCCCTTTGACCTCGAATAAAAAACAACGCACAAGCGGGATCAATGGGGACTTTTGACATATTATTTGTAATGACGTATTCAAGGCCTGCACAAAAATCCAGCTTGTTGGGAATTAATGCAAACTGGAATCAAAATTTAATCTATTTTGACTGGGTTATACAGACAGTTTGTCTGAAAAATAATCAATATATTAAGTTTGTGTCGTATGCCTATAATCGCGTGTGTATCAGTGAAATAAGTACGTGCGTTCCAAGGCAGGTGAGTCTTTATATGAATATACAGTGTAAAATTTCTTATCTATTAAATTCAATATAAGTGGTCTTATACTACATTACTTGTAAGCTCTACATAATCTAAATGTTGTAAAGGAGTCAAGTTTTCATGCATTGTCCGAAATTCATAACAGATTAAATACTTCATGTTTTAAAACATGTTTTGTAGGCTCTATTACGTTTCCCAATGAAGGGATACATTTTTATTTTGTAGAAATTTACTTACACTTTTAAATATATGGTATAAATGTTCAGCTTCAGTACTTCATGCAAAATGTGATTGGGTCGAGTTCTTCGCAATGTCCAAGATACAATATCAAATCTGGGTTGTTTGTACAAGGTCTCCACAAAGTTCGAGACATACATTTCAGCTTAGTTTGTATTTGTAACGATCCATCACGCTTTGTAGATTGGGGGAAAAACACTTATTATAACTTAAACAAGTTTGTGAATATACTGAGTTCTATATAATGTGTTCAGTACTTCATGAAAAAAAATGTGATTGGGTCGAGTTCTTCGCAATGCCCAAGATACATATCAAAACTAGGCTGTATGTAGAGGTCTCCGAATTGCTCGAGACAAGCAAATCAGCTTAGTTTGTATTTGTAACGATCCATCACACTTTGTAGATTGGGGGAAAAACACATATTATAACTTAAACAAGTTTGTGAGTATACTGAGTTCTACATAATTGAAATATTGTAATGGAGTCAGGTTCTCAGCAATGTCCGAGATACATTTCAGCTTTAACTACTTGAAGTCTTAAAATCTGTTTGAAGGGCTCCTTTCTTTTCCCCGGCAAAGGGAAGCATTTGATTTTGTTGTTACTCATCGGTTGTACGCTTTACGCACTTCCTAGGGCTGAACACCATCAACAAATCGAAAAAATTAAATGGGAATTCTAGCTCACAAATTGCGTCCAGCGAGTTTGGCGAGCGTTAAGGATGCAATTTTGTGAGCTAGACTTCCCAATTTATTTATTACTAATTATCCCTAACAGTGCGGATCAGTAGGGACATATGGAATAGGAAGTTTCATATATCTCAGCTGGTAGCGATAAATGGAAAGAAATCTCCAAGTGTCCCTACTAGAGGAGATATGTTAGTAGGGATATATGGAACAGCGGGGCAAGAAGAAGGGGAGTAAAAGTATGAAGTTTTATTTAAATTTAATGTAGTCCTATGCAATTTTACTGAATTTAATTATATTTTTCGGATTAATTAATTCCTCATTAATAAACATTTAAAGATTTCTGAGCATAATTTTAACATCGGCATCATGAGTTAACCAACTCTTTTACTTCCTAAAATACTAAGAATTTAGTAAATTTCTTGCGAAAGTCTGATTTGGACGAAAGCAAAAGAGGATTATTAATAAAGAAAAATTACGGAATCAATTTCTCTGTTATTTGATAATATTCCATCTGAAGTCGGTGCTAAGCCTATGAATAAACGTTTATCTTCCGTCTGTGTATGATTGCTGACATTGCAACTTTTCTCCAGAAACAATCGTTTATTAAAACTAAGATTGCTGACTGGCTTTTTATACTATTTTGCTTTTTCGTCTTCATGTTTATTCCTACACTCGATAATAAGTTTTTGGGTCGAACTTCAGTTATTACAACAGAGCAATTAGAATAATGAAACTTCTTTGATCTCCGAATGACAGAGTCAAGGCATTTGTCGAATTTATCTTCACGACATTGGGGATATTTAGGCACCTCGCACACTAGACGGCCACGACCACGTCCTGTGGCCGCAACAACTAGATTTACTAAAGAAACATTTCTTTATTTGTAGGCCTATTCGCTTACTGCTTTCGACAGATGGAAGTGATAAATCACCGAGCTATTAAGTGATCCACTACTGCTTTATAATAACGCCAGTAAGATACTTGTTCTGAAAAGCATCGATGGATATGCAATTTTTTCTTTAGTTACAACCTGTATGTATATGTCAAAAAAGTTTGCGAATAAGCCGGCTGACCGTTGCGGCCACTAGTCGTGGTCGTTTCCGTCTAGTGTGCGAGGTGCCTTAAACTTATTAATATTTATATTATGAATAGGCTTCATTTCGACCGCGATTCTCGCTCCGACCGCGGACCGTGCGCCCCGTCGCACAGCTGCCTGCTCCGAGTCGACACGACGCGCCTGCACTCATTCGTGAGACTTAAGATTGGACCAGTGGATACCTAGCGGTGTTAACGAAACTGGTCGGCATAGCCCCGGTACGTCTCGAGCTCTCCTGAGCTCGGAAACCGGAAGACCCGATCCCATTTGCACTTGGGCCTTCCCAAGGGTGACGGTTGTTCCTATATTCACTAGGAATATAGGAACACATCTCTTACAGCTTCAACCGACCCCCTGCCGCGGGCAGGGGAGGTCCACCGTTGTCGTATAGGGTGTTAGGACCTGCGGCTTCACGCCACAGTCAGGGCACACATACACACAGCACACACACCAACACAACACACACAACATGGACATTGCACACCAGCTCTCGTCCTTCTTCTCAGCTCTAGGCCTCACCCTGGACGAGGCCTCCATCAGGGAGATTGTCGCGAGAGCGCGCCCCATGCGCGACTTTGACAAGGTTTGGCACGACGGACTAATCTTTAAATTATACCAGTTAGAATTACCCGACCGCCTAGTTAGGTTAGTAGCCTCTTTTCTATCAAACCGTACCTTCCGCTATAGATACGAAGGTACATTATCTATGCCCCGCCCACTACGAGCCGGTGTACCACAGGGGTCCGCCCTCTTCCCCCTGCTATACACAGCGTACACCAATGACATCCCTAAGACCAAGGGTGTCGAGCTCGCTCTCTTCGCGGACGACACGGCCCTCTACTCCAGGGGAGCCAGTACAAACCAAATCATAGCCAGGCTCCACCCGGCGATTGGAGGATCGACGTAAACCCGGACAAAAGTTCGGCCATTTGCTTCGATCCCAAGCGCCGCACCAAAACTATACAATACGGTGCGCGGTCTCTACGAATGCAAGGCATCGCAATGCCGTGGCACCGCACAGTCAAATATCTAGGGATTACACTAGACAAAAAACTCACCTTCCGTCCACACATCACACGCGTAGTCGCGAACGCGCGCTTTGTTATGAGCCGCCTCCACCCGATGCTCGGTAAATACAGTAAAATGTCTCTCCGAAACAAGCGAACGCTTTACAAAGTTTGCATACGCCCGGTCCTCACTTACGCATCACCAGTGTTCGCACACGCGGACGAAGCGATTTTGAACAAACTTCAAGTGCTTCAAAATCGCTTCTGCCGCATAGCCACAGGGGCCCCGTGGTACATCCGTAACGCGGACCTCCACAGGGACCTACAACTCGACACAATTCAAACACACCTCACAGAGTGCTCGGAACGGTTCTTCAAAGCTGCAGAAGAGCACTCTAACCCACTCATTAGGTCAGCGTCGGGATACGCCCCACACACTCTCATCTCGCTACAGGCCCCGTAGGCTCAAACACGCACTCACAGCCACACACAACAAACTCACACGCGATCTCGCGGCCCTCCTGGCCACTGAGGATCCAACACTCACGGTAGAGTCCCCCCGCCCCCCCCCGACACAGAGAGGTTCGATACCGCTCAGTCCCCTCCCGTTCCAAGTGCACATCTGAGTGCACTTGTCCTCTAAGCGCATTTTGCGTTATTTTAAACTATGCACTAGTTTAAAGTAACACAGCGCCGCATCATCCCCCTCTCGGGGGATGATCGCTTCAGATAAAGCTTGTAAGGCCCTTCTGGCCATAAGCATGATTAAAGGGTGTTTTTTAGTCAGTAAGAGTCTGACATAACCCTACAGCCGGCTGTAGGGTATCCATGAGGATTTCTCACCCTCTCCCCCGCCTGGGAGGAAACAAAAAAAAAATTCATTTCGACAACTATTACAAACACCAATTCGTACTGGACCCGTGCGATAGTAAACCATTCTTCCTATTTTTTACCATGAGTATTAGTAAGTACGTAGATAAAATTATAATAATAAAAACTAAATAACTTTTATTTATTGCCTATACTTGCCTTTTGTAAGAATTTTGCGCTCCCACGTATCCACGTTCACGGCCCACTTTGAAATAGCACTATGCATTGACTATGGAAGACAAGTATCCTAATTATTTAGTGAATTAATAAGACGAAACTAACAATTCTTGACTAACTACTTAATATGGGTAATTCTGCGCAAGTGGCCCTCAATTTAAGAATACTTGCAGTTAGGTATATTAGCAAAGTTGTGGCTATTAAAGTTATAACTTAATTTCGATTGAGCTTAAAACTTTTTAGATACATTTAATCTTGATTGCCTAGGTAATTGATTTTATATTTGCCTACGCTTTGTCACTTTATCTTGTTCAATCATAATGTTGCTATTTCATAGCTACAGGAGCTACTACAGTAATGAACTTAATTGCGGATGCGAATCAAATTATTCGGATTCAAATCTAATAACGTATAAATTAAAGCACTTATATTTTTAAATTTAACATGATTTAACAAAGAAAATAGTGTACATTCTTATGCTTTGTCAGGTCACAACAACAGCCACAAACAATCCCAAGGGGTGTAATGGTATTTTGTCTCCTTTCACTGCTCTTCTAGTCTACCCCAGAGCACGGTAAACAAAGAGAAAAAAAAAAAATTATATTATTTTTTCTAACTGATATCATATATCATGGCTTAATATAAATTTTAAGCATTCCAAAGGCTTATCAGGTAAATACAGTAGTTTTAAAGTTATAGCTAATATAAATCACTTCCTTCTCAGTGAACAAATCATTAAGTTAACATAAAGATGGAGTTGTATAAATACTAGATATTCATAACAAATTATAATGTACTTACACGAGTTCTTAAACTATATCTGATATAGTTTACCTACTCTGCAGTGGACTGTCAATTGAGAGACCACAAAACTAGACTTTTCCAGATAATAAACTGTTAGGTGGATATTAGGAGTCCTACGGCTCGTTTGATCGATATTGGTGATGCTGTATATTATGTTAATTCTTGTTCTCAATGAGACAGCCAGTTATACGTCCCACGGCTACCTCACATGTAGGGAAACTGTATTAAATATTGAAGATAGGATATTTTACTGAAAGAATACATCATTTTATTTTTATAATAACTAGAACTTCATTCACAGTTTTTTTTTAAATCGTCTGCTACAACTGGGAATCAAACTCGTGATATTTCGAAAAAATAAACACAACATATTTTTTGATAACTATCGAAAGGGTTAATCATAAAGATTATTTTTTGCTCAATAACACAGCAATTTAAATGAAAGGAATGTCTTATTACGTAATAAAAACAATAAAGTGATATACAAACTGTAGTACGTATGCATTTCTTTTGGAACTCACAGTTACAATGCGATTGACAAAAATTTGTAAAAGTAATAATAAGAAAATGGAACACATTAATTTTCAAGCGTCTGTTCTTTTGTGTTTTGTTTCATTTTTGTTTATTTGCAATTTTTTGTTAATTTACTTACCATGGCGTACCAAAATAAAATGGATTTGATTGAAGCTTACTTTATGAACCACAAAGACATATCATTAGCTTTGCGTTGGTACCGTGAAAGATATCCTGATAGAGACATACTTTCTCGATATGTATTTAAAAGGTTAGTGGATACTTTAAGAAATTTAGGGAGTTTTGATATGCGCTTACAGAATCCAGAACAGCGGGTGTTAAACGTCAACGATGATGAACTTAACATTTTAACTTACTTTGAGGCGTATCCGAAGAGTTCAGTGAGGGAAGGTGAAGAGGAAATTGGGATTTCCAAGAGAATACACCGTGTATTGAAAAGATACAAGTTTAAGAGTTATGTTGAAGGACGATTAGTGCAAAAATTACGCCCGGGAGATGATGAAAGATGCCACCATATTGAGAGGCTCATCCTTGAGGATCAAAATGTTCTGGAGACCATTATTTGATCAGATGAGTCAAATTTCAGTAACAATGGTATGTACAACCGGCGTAACAATCGTATTTGGTCCAGACAGAATCCCTTACGAATCCGCGAGACTAATGATCAAGTGAGTTTTTCTTTTAAGAACTGTTGGTGTGGGATTGTTAAAAACCGAGTACTCTTAATACATTTTTACGAAGGGAATCTGAACACGGAAAGATATCTAGAAATACTTAATATTTTAAGAGGTGAGATCAATAATCTTCCGGGTGCAAATCGACGAAATCTCATTTTCCAGCAAGATGGAGCGCCGGCTCATAACAGTAGGAGAACTGCCAAGTTTCTTAATGAACATTTTCCTTCATGGATCGGTACTTATGGACAAATTAGATGGCCAGCGAGATCCCCAGATCTAACCCCACTGGACTTTTTTTATGTGGGGTTATGTAAAAGATGTAGTATACAAGAACCGGTACGACAGTGTTCAGGAGTTACAATATGAACTCAGACGTATTATAACAAACATTCACCACGCAAAGAT